AAATCATTTCTGAAAATTTGGTGAACTTAGCTCAATTAGTTTTTGAGTTATCGCTGAGACCGTCGGATCATTATTTCTCAGCGTTACAAACGGTAAGGCGAATTTAGTATATGCTTCGAACATACGTTCGTACGAATATAATAATTTTTCTGTTAAAAAACAAAAGGAGAATTTGTCTTAAATTTCTTATACAAAACCCCGTAATTTAATGCTTCTATCACTCCCAAATATTGAATATCAGAAATATTTGGTACTCATTTAAATCAATTTCGGTATACTTTCAGTAAACTTACATTAATTGATTAAATTCACCTTTTCATTAATGAAGTCAATCCAACATAGCACTCTTCCTTTTTTTACATTTTCCCTTTGTATAAAATTTTACAATACTGGAAACGGCACCGTACCGTTACTGCTATCCAAAGAAAATTTGTGTTAACTTTTTGTTGTGTTAATTTCAGCCTATACTCCTATACAACAATTCCAAATTTTATAGGTATTCTTAGAATTTTTTTTATATCATACAACATACGAGTTCAAAATTATTTTACACGTCCCATGTACGTGTATGTGTTTATTGTTAAATTCCTGATAACTTTTATAAACTTTTAATAAAGTGATATGAAAAACAACGCACAAGTTGGGAAGTAAGAGGAGGAGAAAAAAAAATTAAATTAATTTGAAAATGTTTTTCTTAAAATTTTCATTGGAAAATGACATTCATTATTACTGAAAATTCTTGTATAAAAATCGGAGGAAAGACAACAATTTCTTCTGACATTTTTTTCATTTTCTATGTATAACAAGGAGCAAAAAACACAAATATCTTAAAAATACAAATAAAAAGAAAAAAGAAATAAATCATCTTGGATTATGAAACTTTTTCTAAAAATATCTTTTTTGACAAATGAAAACATTATCTGTTTTTCCAGCATGGGGGATAAAGTGGGGAAAAAATTTCGTTTTTTAAAGATAATTTTGGGAATAAAAGTTTTCGAGCTATGCTGTTTTTTTTTTTCGTTCTATACAACTTTTTCCTTTTATTAGCACGGGTTTTATTTTGGTTTCATCTCCATCTCGTGAATTCCTTCTAATGTTAATCTTCAAAAAAAAAAAATTTATAATGCGTCAATTATTTTAAATTTTATTTTTTTTATTCATTGCCGCATCTGCTCTTATTCTTATTCTATAATCAGATAAAAGTATAGAGCATCGTACTTTTAATTGCTGTTTTTATATGCAATAAAAGAATATTCTAAAGAAAATTTATATGAAAGTAGATGAAGAAGGTAAAATAAGTTGAGAAAATTGTGTTTCTTTAAGAAACTGATAACAAAAAAAAATTCTTTAAAGAAAATTAAAAGAATTTCATAAAAGGTGTCTCAAAATTTTAGTTGAATGATTTCCAGGACTTTAATTGGAATCAATGAATCATTAATGACATCACTAAAAATTGCATAGATTTAAAAAAAATTCAAAGTTAAAATTTTCAAAAGTGATTATTTTGCATTATTACGAAACCGTTTTGGGTTATATAATTCTTGCAAACCCATAGAATACGCTTATAAATCCAATTAAGGTGCCTTGTTTATGTGTACTAAAAACATATTAAAAATTTTATGATAACATAATTGTCTCTCACGAATGCTCTTGTGATTGCTTCTCATGCTACCAAATACATGGTAGGTAAACAGTTCAAATAATTATGGCAATTACTGTCTAGAAAAGCAATTTTAAGAACAATTTACTGATAATTGTTTCATACCTCGGTAGTGCAATTGGTAGAACATCCGCCTATAACATTGGTTCTAGTTCAGAGAGGAAAAAATTTTCAACTTTTCTATAGCTTGACGTGTTCCATTGACTACGTCATTTATCTGTTCTGGTATTTTAGTAACTTCTTCTATCGGTAACTTCTTCTATCGCGTACGATCTAGCGCTAACGTACTGTAGTTAGTCACTTCAATTTTTCTTAAATCTGCTTTTACCTACTTTTTGGCCTTCCCCTTGCCCTTTTTCCCTGTTCGCTTGATGTTCGAATTTCATTGTTTTCTAATTACATTTCACAAATTCTAAATAATTTAATATTTCAAAAAGAGACTTCAAAAAAGAATACTGACTGTATAATTTGTGGAATAAGGACAAATTTAAGGAGCGTGTATATAAGAAGATAAAATTTCTTTTTATTATTGTTATTTAGTTCAATGTAAATAACTTTTTCCCTTCTATATAAATTTCCAAATATCCTTGAAATTTCAAAACTTTTTAAAAATGTTATTCTTTGGAAATTTTATACTTTTTTGGTTGGGGTTTTTATAAGAAGTTATAAGAAGTTTTTTTTTTTTTTTTGGGTTAAGAAATTAAATCTAAATATAGGTTAGATTTTATAAAATAGGTTTTACATAATGTTAATTTTTAAGTTTTTCTTATTTATTATATAATTATGAGGTAAAAGTTTAATAATTTTTATAATTTAAATTTTCCTTTGAAATTTAATGAATTTTGTGAAAGAAATAGAAGAATTTAATTTAAAGTAGATCAATATATGTACATACATAGAAAATTTGTATCTAAAAACATTTTGTATGATTTCATACCGGATGTATGAAATTAATGAGAAATCATACATAATGTTAATTAAACCAAAAGTGTTTGATTGAAAAAATACAAAATGCTTAAGTACACGTGTAGTTTTAAGTAAGTTAACTATGGTTGCATTATGAGTATTTTAAAGAATATTGGTGCTTAATAAAATTATTAATAATTTTAAACGCTATTACATACAATTAAGTAGTGTAAATACTTCTAAAAACTAATAAATTTAGAATTATATAATAACCTTCTTGCAAAATGTTTAGAGTAAAACAGGACTATACCTTAATAGTTTGTAGAATTTGTATTCTATATAAGGCAATATTAGAAGGCATACACCATAAAGCGGTATGGCTTCTATTGCCTGGAAGTGAAACCTGGCACACAAATCAGGCTATCATTAATAATATTCGGGTATTCATAAATAATTGCCTCAGAAAGTTATGCGGAAGAATAATGTTGTGGGAGCTGGCAGGTGACTCGCGTCCACTTTGCTATAAATGAGAAAAAGGAAATGGCGCTGATTGGGGCATACGCCAAGAAGACCACAGGCTGCGATATCATGTTAAGCGTTAGAGTGAAATCTACTTGGTAAACGTAAAGTTAGAAGGAAGAAAATGACTCGGCGTCAAACAATAGACAAAGAAATCATCAAAAGCGGCAAAACATGAACACAAATAAAGCATTTAGCCGGCAATCGAATAAGATAAAGGGACTATGTGAGAGCTTAATGCTCCCAAAGGAGAAAATAAAATTTTTGGAGATATTTAAAAAAATCTTTTGCAAAACTTTAAACGCGTCTTTTGGCTAAACTAGAAGAGATAGAGCGATTTTAAGTGTTTTTTGTGATCACTGAGAATCCACAGCCAATATATGATAATAGGCTGTAGCAAAAATATTTTTGGAGATATTTAAAAAAATCTTTTGAGTGAATGAAGGAGAAAAGAAAAAAATCTCATTTATGAGAATAAGGTATGTGATATTTGAAAAAAAACACGAAAACATATCCTTTCAAATTACGAAACCTCCGCAGAATGAAAATGCAAAAAGGAGGTTTCCCTCTTAATTAGTTTTCGATATGATGGTACCATTTCATTTTACTGTCGAGAATTAATTCTAGATAATCAAAGTGAGTCATTTTTATACAACCTTCCTAAAATTCTAGAAGTACAGTATACTATTTCGGTAAAAATTAATAAGGTTCTAATTAAATGAATTTAATAGAATTTAAAAAATAATTTCATTTTGGAATTTATACACAATTTATTAAAATATTTATGAATTCTTTTTTGTATTTAATGCATAAACTTGCATCAATTCTTAATTAGTTGTTGACTTTTCAAATAGCTGCCATATATAATACTTGATTAGATAGAAAATTTTAATTAAAATAAAATTTAAAATCAAGTTCTTAAAAATTATTTTGTTCTATATTATTTATCTTATTGAAAATGTTAAAAAGAAAGTGGATTAATTAAAAGAGAGTACATAAAAAGTTATGAATTTCTTTTGATCATATAGAAAAATATTTTTAAATATTATTTATAACTTGTATTTGTGTTTATATGTGTGTATGTGTGTTATGTCTATAAATAATAAAAACGATTTTAATTGTTAACATTAAAATACATCTGCTTCTAGTATACCGTTTATAATACGTACAAGTGGTGTTAAACTGAAAAACACCGAATATTTATAAGAATAACTAATGGAAATTTCTTTATACAGCTGCAGAACAAATGGATGACGTAGTCAAAGGAGAGAGTTAAAGTACGAGTATTTATTAAAAAAATTTTTAAAAATTTTTAAAATTTAGTAAAAAATTTTTCTCCTCGAACTGTACTTGAACCGGTGACCTACCGCTTTCTACGCGGACGCTCTACTAACTGAGCTACAGGGGTATGAAAAACTTACCGGCAAATTGTTCTTCAGATTGCTTTATACTGTAAGTTTTTTGCTGAAGCCGGTACTGTAAGGGAGGTTATGTGAATCGACCAATTTCCTTGAAATTTGATATATAAAATTAGTGTGTTAAAAGAATGTGCCTATAATTTTTTTGGAATTCAGGAGTGAGTTCAGGGCACGGAAATCGAACTTGGGGCATTTTATTTTTTTTTTTCAAATTTATACAGAAATGGATGGAATCAATTAGGATGGAATTTCTTGAAAGTTAATATTTGACTTTTGGTTTCACTAAGGGAAACTCTACTAAGAGCCAAACTTTCATTTTTCTAGATATGTTAACTAAGAGCTTACTAATTTCTTTAAAATTGCAAAGGCATTTTCAATCATCTGTTTACTATCACTAAACTACAAAATTGTGGTTGTTTGGGTTCTGAATTAAAATTTTAGTAACATAAGATGACTCGGATATTAATAACATAAAAATATAATTTTGTTATATTCACCTTTCATCTCAAATTCATGTTGAATTCCATAAGAAATTTTAGAAAATATTAAAATTCTATTTGTAATCAAACGTTCCTCCTGCCGCATTACAAATTTCATAAATCGAATCATATCACAATTTTTTATTTATATTTTATCGAATTTGGTGTGGGTAAAATATGCAAATTATTTATAATGTTAAAAGTATATTAAACTAAATTAAACTTTTCACTTCATTTTAAAAGAAAAAAAATAGAAACACATTAAACTTTTTAACAAGATTTCAAGAATAGCAATTTTTTTTTTTCTTATAATTATTTTGTACAATTAAAAATGTTGTGCATTTCGTATTTAAGTACATTGTTCCAGAAATTCAATAGTGCATACCAAAACAGCAATAAAAATCATTTATTTTTTTTTTCTAACCATAAACACAACAACATCTTTCTTTTGTAGTGCGCTACTAATATCTTTAATTCTTTTGCACCAAAAAAATATCTTTTTTTTTTAAATTAAATGCGCGATTTTATTTAATAAAATAAAATATACACTTAGTTTTTGTTTTATAAGTAGTCATTTTTTTTTTGTCTACAACACTTCTTTTCTCTTATTAATAAAAAATTTATTGTGGAAAAAAAACAGAACGCTTTGTTTTTTCAACTAAACTCTATAAAGTGATAGTTATGCTGCTATATAGTTGTAGTTTAGATTGTGCTTCATAAAATATTTTAAATATAATAAAAATTATTCAAAGTTTTTTTTTTTTTTACAATAACTACAATATGCAATTACTCATGTGTATGTGAGCACATTTTCAATTGGAGAAATAAAACACATGCATTTTGTTTTCTGTTTAAAATTTATGAATTTTTAAATGAATTGCGGTTAAATGGAATTTAATAAATTTTATATAATTAAAATAGATGGTGTTTAAAAAATGTTCGAATAACATTGAAAAATAAAAAAAAGGTTCGAAGAGACAAACATATTCTACTACCTGCTTCTAGCGGTAACAAATTATAAATTTTAAGGCAATAATAAAGACAATAATATTCTTTTGACAATTAGTTCTAAACAAACTCAAATAGAAGTTTGGCCTATTTCTGGTGTTATGTTCGACCATTCCTATTCAGAATAAAATTATGCTTAAGAGAGTTATTTATCAATTTAAATGCTAGCACATATAGAGCTCTTTCTTACATATAAGTTATTAATACCGCTCGTATTATAGCATATCACTTAGATACCTAATAGGAAGCCCCTTTATAATTTTAATTGCTAATAAATTACATTTAATTTAGTCAGGACAGTTTGTGATGTCCATAAAGGATTCAAGTAAAATACATTCAACAAAACATAGGAACAAAAAAATTTGTAATTTCTCACAATGTGGTATTATTAAAAATTATAAAACTACAGGAAAACCATAGAGAAGATTTCAAAAGATCAAAAAGATTTTGTTTTATGTGTCCGTGTAAGAAATTGATTCTGAATAAACATATAGAAATTAATACATTCCGGTTGAAATTTATAAAATTGAACTAACTGTTATAATCGTATTATTAACCATATATTAATAACATATAAGATGTTAATTATAGCCTGCAACTGAAAATTAATTATCAAATTTTTAAACACATTTTGATTTTCCGTACATACTTATCACTATATTGCTTATCATATGTTAATAATTTTTCAGTTTACATATACATATGTATATATGCACATTAAACATTATAAATTTAGAACAATATTTTATTAAAAAGAAAATCTACTCAAAATCATTGATGCATTTCAAATAAAATGAAAAAAAAATTAAGAAAAACAGAAGAATAATGAAAAACTTTTCGATTTTCATATTATGTACGATTAAAATCAAATATTTTTGCAATTTTTATAATTAAAATTTTTTTGAAAAAAAAAAACAAAAAAAATTATTTCTTAAAAATGAAATTTATTTAATTCGTTATGAAGAAAATACGTCTGTCTATACCCATAAATTTTCCTAAAAATATTTAAGACTCTTTTGTATAACACAGAACACTCGCATTTGAAGTTCTAACAAAGATGCAATGCAATGACAGCATGTTTTAGTAGACTGCTACAAAAAGTATTCCGTTTTTGTTGGTACAACTGCAAAAAATCTTCTTTCAATTTCATAATCTAAATTAGTAGAAGAAAATTCACTATTGAGAGAATAGAGAGAAATATTATTGAAATTATACCAGAGTTTTCGTTGACAGCTCTGCTCTAGTAATTCTATATTGCAGTGTAGTTTTGAATTGACAGATCTTTCGAAATCAGAACTATAAATTGTTATACTATAAAAAGACTATAATATATTTTATTAATAAATAGCTTTCATATGAAAATATTACGGTTTTTTTTTTTAATTCACTTTAACTTCAGTTAAGTTACTCAAGTTACAAATTACAAAAAATTTTGATATGTAGCATTGTTTTGAGCTCGAAATATATGGATGCTAGCGACATCTCAGTTTTCATGGTAATTTTTAAAGCGTAATTATTTTTCTCTTCAATCATTAAGATCATATTACAATTTATTTTAAAAATATTACAATTTATTATAAAAAAAAAAATACAGAAAAAACTAATAAATTTTAAATTAATTTATTAAAATAATAAAAAACAAAAACATCTACATATACGAACAAATCCGAAATAAAAAAAAAATAAAAAAAAAAAAATAATTAAAAATGCGTGGTTTTATTTAAAATATTAAAAAAGAAAACTATTAACGGTTTCTTTACCTTTATAATCAAAATCTATTAATGTATATGAAATATAAGTAGGTAAAATTCGCTAAGAAAACAAGAAAAACTATCGGATGTTCGCGTTGCCAATTCGTTCATTTAATCATAAAAGATAACACTTTTTTTTTTTCTTACAATTTTTTTTCTATATTTAATTATTTCAACTATTGTTTTTCTTATACTAGATTCATAAAAAAAAATATTTTCTATTTTATGAATTATTGAATTTAGTATTTTTAGACTTAAGTATAAGAAATTAGAAAATAACCGCAATTATAAAAGAGAGTGGTGTACTCGTAGTTTTTGAGCAAAAAATAGAAAAAGAAATTTTTTATTTCTTTAATATTTTTTTTTTTTTTTTTTGTGATACAGTAGAGCTATATAGAGTGCATTATTATTATTTTGCATTTTTATTATTGAAATGCATGCAATATAGTCAATGAATATTTCAAGCTCCATATCCAATTTTTGCTCTTAATTAATTTTGTGTGAGAGTAATTGTTGCGTTCAGTTTATATTGTTTAATAAATATTTTCTTTTCTGTTTTTCTCAAAAAAAAAAACAAAAAAAAATTTAAACACAAAAAGATGAAAGAAAATTAATAAATAAAAGTTAGAAAAAAAAATAAAAAGAATAATAAAAATTAAAAGAAAACAAAAAACAAAAAAAAAAAACAAAAATCTAAGTCACGGATTTACGGTTATTATGAATAGTTTAATTAAAGATTTTGTACAATTCGGATCTTAAACTTGAAAATTCTTGTGTAAATATTTTATTTTTTTTTTTTTTGTTAACTCAAAATAGAAAATTTGAAAAAAGAAAATAAAACAAAATTTTGAAAATTATTCTATATTAAATAAAATTTTTAAATTTGAAAACAAAACAGAAAAAAAAGAATCCTTAAATAAAAACTATAAAAAAAAACAACAAAAAATCCATAAATCCTTTAACGAAATTTTCTATATATTTATATGTATATACTCGTATATATACAAAATATGTATGTAGTTAATAATATTAAATTGATTGTATTTATTGAAGAATAAAAGTGCGTTTATTAATTTTCAATAAAAAAAAAAATTTTTTTTTTTAAATACTAAATTATTAAATTTTTCCAATAAATTCAAAATTTTTGAAAAATTTCTTACCATAAATATTCAGTGGAATTTATATAATAAAATTTACTTTAAAATATAAAAATAATTTAAAAAAATTATGTGAAAATAATATTGTATTTTTAAATTATTACACACTTAATATGTACTATATGCGAATATCCTTTTCTATTATTAAAAATTTGGTTTTATAATGCGTATTTCCGATCCAAATACAAGTACACACAGAGAGAAATTCATCAAAAAATTGCATAAATATTATATGAATAATGTGGTTATTTGTATTGTAGACAAATGGTTGGGGAGAAATTAAAATTTAATATTAAATATTTTTTTGGTAGAGAGATGGAATTTTTATTTTAATCCAAATATATAGGGATCAAATGAAAGGATTATATAAAAATTACGGATAGTTCGGATATTGTATGAATTTAAAATAAATTACTTAAATAATATTATAGAATTTATGTTATTAAATTCAATTTATACTTATTATTTTTTAATTATGAAAATTAAAAATTTTTAAATTGAATTATAAGTGAATAATTTTTTGAAATAAAAAAAAAAACAAATTTGACAAATTCAATTAAAATTTCATTTTAAATATTTTAAAATTAATAATTTTGAAAGTATGAGCGAGTTAGTGTGAAAATTCAGTTGAAAAATTTATTATACATTTACCATTTCTAAAGTTTACAACATGAAATTTTCATGTTTTTCTCTAATTTGTTGCAATTCGTGTGAATCTTAATTACCTTCTTAATGTGAATATCACTTGAATCAACCTAACAATTTAATTTTATACTTTGTAAATGATCTTGTAGTAATAACTAAATTCCTTCTCCGGATATCGATTTCTTTTATTTTTGAAAATATTGAAAATTTTCTCTTTGATTTGGTGAATAATGTCTCATAATATCCTTATTTACATTCTCATTTTTAATAGATTTAGTTTGAATTTAAATTGCATAATTATTATTTGAATGTCTTGCAATAATTAATGTTTTCTTATATTTTTAAATTCAAATTATACGATATTTTTATGTTCAAACAATTAAAATGTTATTGGACTTAAAATACGATACTCATTTATAAAATTTATATAAGTAAAAAATTTTCAATTTTATGAACAAATACCTTTCAAATAATTATTAATT